GTGTGATTAATAAAGTGTCGTTGAGCTGTGCTACCTCAGTCTGCGCCTGAGTCCGTCCACCGCCGTGACAATATGACTGACTTTAATTATCCATAAAATCATCACATTCTCTGTAAGATTAAGGTCAACTATATATATATTTAGAAGTAGAGGCTTTAAAACCAAGTTAAAGCTGAAAGTACAAACATCACTATTGTCACATAACAGCAATGTTTTAATGTTCTTCATTATTAAACATTCGCGCATAAATAAGTGACGTCATATTCAGTACTTACTTTTGACAGTTCACTCTTCGGCCACTCCCTTTTGCTGTATTTTGCGGCAAAATTATCCACACCCACCGCCGCGCTGTGAATTGTGGGATATATGGGACCACGAAGCGTGCACCGGACCACGCTTGATATTTGGGGAAATCGACGGCGCATTTGGAGTACACTTCAAATTGGGACCGCCGTCGTCGCGTGGCGGTGACGTAACCGCACTTGAAATGTGTACTTCAAGTGTGCAGACCCTGAATTGGGACACAGCCTCTGTTTAGCTCCGCTCACTTTGATCTCACAGCGCCCCCTAGGTGAACTGCAGCTAACTTTTCACTATGATTAACAGGAAGTGAATAGAATGAAGGTTCACCGGGATCCTGCTGCTGACGTCGTTTTCCCGTGACTCCTCCCCAATGAACCGTCCCGTCTCAGCCAGGAGTCGCACCAGAGGACACACACAGTAACACACACAGTAACACACACAGTAACGCACTCACACACAGCCTCCTCCCTGCGCACAGAGATTCCTACAGATTCTCTGAGTTTGCTGATGACATCATGCTGTGTCGATGTCCACAGCGAGGAACGTGATTCTGAAACAGGCTGGAGAACCTCTGAGATGACCATGTGACCCACCTGCTGCCAGCTCACCCTTAAATCTTCCTCCAACTGTTTCTCTTTAGCTCGCTGACTTTGGCAGATCTTCTGTGTTTAAATGTTTGACATGTTCTCTGTCATGAGTAAATGTGCGCTGATGGAAATCATGTTTCTCTTCACTCGTTCACTCGTGCTGGTGTTTGAGGAGGCAGCAGGTGGGAGATCACGCTGAAAACTTTGGGCTGAATTCAGCTGAAGCTCATATTTATGATATAAAGTCAGGCAGAGATTTGGGTTAATCAGCGTAACCTTTCCTCCAAGATTACAGCGCCCGATCTGCTTGCGTGATTACTCCATAACGAGGGCGAGCCGTGAGGACGCACTGCGCTCCAGGTGCAGCTGCAAGTCGTCAGCAGTCATCAGATTAATGAGTGTTTCTTCCTCTCACACCACTGCAGCTACACGTGACGAGCGATTTAAACGGTTCCTCGGATTCCTGCGAGGAGCTGCGAGAACAAACACGGCGAGGTCCACGTGCAGCACACTGGAGCTCAGAGCTGCACAGTAAATCCATCCAATCATTTCACTGCTTTACAAACTCC